GGTAATGTTGGCAAATTAATAAGTTGAAATAAATACCTTATTGTATATTTTGTATATATCTTATTGTATATTTTCATACAGGTTTTTACTTCCATGTGCATTTCTACCACTGCCACTCTTAGATCAAACTTTATATTCTTAAAATTGACATTTTCATATTGAACCATTAAGATTGAGGCATTGTAAACTAAGTAATGGCATATGTTGTTGTTATTGTTATGTGCCATCGAGTTTCTTGCGACTCTTAGCGACCCTATGTACAACAGCCCTAAACTCTGCTCTATCCTGTGCCAATCGCACTGCCTCTGACACTCCCATCCCAATTACCCCAGTCACTGAATCAATCCACCTCATAGAGGGTCTTCCTCTTCTGCATGGTCCCTCCACCCTCCCAAGCATGATGTCCCTCTCCAGGTACCTCTCCCTCCTTACAACATGTCCAAAGTATGTCAGACGAAGCCCCAGAATCCTTGCCTCCAAGGAGCAGCCCAGTTTAACCCTCACCAGGATGAATCTGTTTGTTTTCTTGGCAGTCCATGGTACATTCAATACTCTTCTCCAGCACCACAGCTCAAAGACATCAATTCTCCATCTACCCTCTCCAGGATGTATCTGTTTGTTTTCTTGGCAGTCCATGGTACATTCAATACTCTTCTCCAGCACCACAGCTCAAAGACATCAATTCTCCATCTATCCTGCATATAATTTTTTAAAAATTAATTTTAATGAACGTTTACTGAGACTTAGGGTTTCCAGTCATTCACTGTTTCACTTTTCTCCCTATCAACCCCCTTCCCCCAATTCACTCTTCTTGAAAAGACAGAAAAACTCTTTAATTGTTATGCAATCCCTCCCTCCGCCCCAAGTCCAATCCACTATTCAACCTTCACTCTGGACTTCTGTAATGACAAGAATACCCATTCATATATCCCTTTTAAGCAGTTCTCGCCCTCATCTGTTTCAAGGCAATATATATCACCCCTCCCCTCCTTTTCTGTCTTCCCTCAACCCTGATGTTAGTCCCGTTTTACAATAGTGGCCCTACACAATATTTGTCCTTTTGTGACTGAGATATTTCACTCAGCATGATGTCCTCCAGGGTGATACATTTTGCATAATATTTCATGAGTTCTTTATTTCACAATGCAGCATATTATTCCATTACGTGAATATACCAGAGCTTCTCTATCCATTAGTTTATTGATAGGCACTTGGATTGTTTCCAGCTCTTTGCTATTATGAACAAAGCTACAATAAACATGGGTGTGCTCCTTCAAATGGTATATTTGCAATTTTTTGAGAAAGCACCATAGAGCCTTCCATAGTGGTTGCACCATTTTACACACCCACCAGCAGTGAATAAGGGTTCCATTTTCTCTGCAACCTCACCAGCATTTGATGTTTGCTTAAATTTTTATTGTGATTTTAACAAAAATTTACAGTAAAGTTGGATTTTCATTTATTCATTCATTGTTGCACATTTTCCTCCCTATCCCAGTTCACTTTAAAAAAAAAATCCATTCATTGTTGCATGACCCCATCTTTCCAACCATGATGATAACTCTTTCCAAAGAATAAGTCCTTCTAACAATATGCCAAAAGTATGCCAACAAATCTTCGCCATTCTTGCCTCTGAGAAGCGCCTTGGCTGAAGAGTCAAGCAGTGGTTCCTTCTGTTATGCTGGTATGTCAGGGCTGGTATGAAAAAGAACCCACTGCTGATAAACAGGGATCCTTACACACTCTAACTTAGAGGGAAGCCCATAGCACCTCAAAGGAAAATTGTAGAATAATGTTCATTCTAATGTTAGGAATCAAGCTAAAAATCAAACCCAATGCTGTTACGTGGATATCAACTTATATGACTCTATAAGACAAAGATGAATAACCCCCACGGCTTCCAAGGTTGTAAAATGTTTATAGAAGTAGATTGCCACATTTTCTTCTGCGGAGTATCTAGTGGGTTTGGACTGCTTACTTAGGGCTCCTTTAGGCTGGGAGCAAATAAAACCAAGTCCACTGCTATGAGGTGGATTCTAACTCACAGTGCTACTATAGGGAGCTCTGGTGGCCCAGGGATAGAACCCACCAACTGCTCCACAGAAGAAGACTGCACAATCTCCTCCTGTGTGATTAAATTAACTGTTTCTGAAAACTCACTGGAGTGTAGCTATGAGTGGTTCCAACATGGCAGCACACAACAACAACTAAAGGATTGGATAGAAATGCCTCATAGAGTTTCCAAGGCTATAAATCTTCATAATTACTTGCTATGCATCAGAGAGCTGGACAATGACTAAGGATGACAGAAGAAGAAATGATGCTTTCGAATTGTAGTGCTGGAGAAGAGTCTTGAATATACCACGGGCCACCAAGAAAACAAATAGGTCTGTCTTAGAGAGAGTGAAACCAAGTTTCTCCTTGGAGGCTAGAATTTTGAAGTTCTGTCTCACATACTTCAGGCACATGGCCATGAGAGACCTTGGAGAAGGACACCATGCTCAGAAGGGTGGAGGAGAGGAAGACCCTGAATGAAGTGGATTGATATAGTAACTGGGGCAATGGGGTTTGGTGTGTTAGAATTAGTGAGGCTGGCTGAGGACAGAACAGGGTTCAGAGCTGCTGTACATAGGGTCTCTATGGGTCGTAGGAGACTGATGGCATGTAACAACAACAAATTTTATCAATGAATAAGGATAATACAAGAAGAATCAATATATTTGAATTGTGGTATCAGAAGAGGAAGTACAAACAGGGTGCTTTTTACAAAGATGGTGAAACTTCATTTCACATACTTTAGGCATGTTGTCAGGAGAGTCCAGTCTTTGGAAAAAGATACCATGCTGGGAAAGATGGAGGGTCGGAGCAAGAAAGGAAGATGATTCAAACCATGACTGCAACAATGGGTTCATGCATATCAGAGATCATGAGGATGGTACAGGATGGACAAGTTTCAAATCTGTTCAAAAGGTTGCTATGAGTCATAGTTGACTTGACGGCGCTTAACAACAATAAATCTTTGCAGGAGGAGCCTGACTCACCTTTTACTACAGAGCTGGTTTGAACCCCTCCCCTTCTTTTGATCAGCAGCTAGATGTTTAACCTGCACCACCACCACCATTACATTAGGAGCAAACCCAGGACCATCTAGCAGATTCCAACTCACAGGCCACCCTCTATCAGGTTTCAGAGCCTGTAGGTCTTAACTGGAAGAGACTGCTCATCTTTCTCCTGGAGAGTAGACTGCCTTTCAGGGTACAGTTCAACATATTATCCCTACATCTCCAGGGCTCCTTTGCAGCCTGTGGTCAAATTTAGGATAGCCTGTAAAACACTCAATATTTTGAATGTGAATAAAACTTTACATTCTTTATCACTTAAGCAAATAAAGAAAGAGAGTACAAATATCTTCTCCAGTAAATAAAACAAATTTTTTTTTTACTACTGTTTGGTGCTGTGATGCTGAACCTTGTACCACTGGAGTATCATATGCTGTAATGGTTACTCATGGTGGACAGTGTTTGGTGGAGCTCCCAGCTTAAGACAAGTTTGGAAGCAGGAGTGGCATCTACTTCCTAAACAACTGGAAACTCTATGAACTTTGAAAAATGACTATAGTTATAGAAAGGCTTCAGGCCTTTTGTTCATAGAGTCACCATGAGTGTGAGTTGTGCTCAACGGCAATCGACAACAACAACAACTGTATGGTGCAGCTAAGTAGGCTCCTACAAACAACAGGACAGCAGAGCCAGGCCCCTCACCATCCTCAGATCTTGGCTATGTCTGAGCCCATTGTGGCTTTTCTTTTCCCTGGACCCTCTATCAAGCATGATGTCCTTCTCCAAGGACATCGAGATAACATGTAACATTAGGCATCAAATGTAACTGATAACATGCAACATTAGGCATCCTGATACATGTAAATGTACAGGCACAAGTAACTTGGGCATATTGGGCATCAAATACTCTAACTGTTCAGACATGCTCCTTTCAGCTGCTGGGGCAGTCAACTAACAAATGGTGATTTATTTCACCCTCTGGCCCCCTTCCTCATAGAGTGAGACAATGACGGAACAGGGCTGAAATCCACACTGGCGTGTAAATTCAAGGTGACTTCTTTAATCAGTAGACAGACCTAGATGTATTTGGATCCCTTGGAACTGGTGTCCCAGGAGTGGCCTCTGGTAATACCTCTTTATCAAGAATGGCAAAGTGAGTTTCTGAGACCTCAGTATGGCCTCAGGGAATCTGAAATGTCTTTCCCTCATAGAATTAGTAATTTTAAAAGGCACCTCGACCGCGTAGAGCGGGTTAATCCGCACCTTCCTGCAGCTGCAGCTCTCAGCCCTAATCTCCGCAGCTCCAGGGGAGGGCAGGGACGGATCCTGTGTCGCTTTCGTTTCCTAGGTGGCGGCGACCCAAAGAGGCGGCCGGCCGATCGCCTACCTGCCTTCCACTCTCTCGGCGGGCGCTGCTGCGCGTCCTGCAGAGCGGCTCGCTGCCCGCTTCCACTTCCTGCCAAGCTCACCTACCCGCGCGGTGCCGGGCTCTGGCCAGCCTGACTCATCTGGGATGGGTGGCAGCGGGTGGAGGGGACCTCAGAGGGCGGAGGGACATGAGGAGGCGGACCGAGCCCTTCCCCCAGAGCCGGAGAGGAGGCGTAGCCAGGGCGCAGGTGAAACCGATTCGGACCTATCCCGGGAACTTTGGCTGCAGAGACTCGCTCCGAGAGGTCCGCGTCGCGCCCAGGCAGCCTGGGAGCCACCCTCTGCCACCCCCTGGCTGCGCGCAAAGACAGAGCTGAGAGTCGCCCCTCGAGGGACCCTCGGCCCTCCTGGCGCGCTTGGGGACTGCTGGCAGCGCCAGGCTCCGTGCCTGATGGAGGCGGGTGGACCTGCCCGGGGCGCAGGTGACACCCGCCCGGCCAGGGTTTCTGCTGGCGGGGGAGGGCGCACAGTAGGTGAGGCGCAGACGGCCGGGAGACCGGGGCCCAGGCAGCTATGGCCCTGGAGCTGAGCCAGGAGGCACTTCTGGATTTTCTGTGCCAAGCAGGGGGCCGAGTGACCAATGCCGCCCTGCTGAGCCACTTCAAGAGCTTCCTCCGAGACCCCGACGCGCCCCCCAGCGAGCACCAGCACCGCCGCGAGCTCTTTAAGCGCTTCGTTAACTCGGTCGCCGCAGTGCGCCAGGACCCCGACGGCACCAAGTGCGTGGTGCTCAAGAGGAGGTACCGGGACCTTTTAGGGGAGGAAGGGCTTCAGCGACCTCGCGACCAGCTGGCGGACACCGCCCCTGCGGGAGGAGCTGCTCCCTGCGCCCCGAGAGGCGCGCGCGGGAGGCATCAGCAGCCCGGCCGGCGGCGCGGCCAGGAGCGAGGGGAGGAGCCGCCAGGGGCTGGCGCACGAGTCTCGGACGCAGGTTGCAATGGACTCCCGGCCACTAGCGCCCAGGAGGCGGGCCCCGGAGGCGGCAGGCGAAGGGTCGTCTCGGGCCAGAGGGCGCCGGGGTCACCGGCTGCAGACGCTGCCGCTGCCGCTGGGAACCAAGCGCGGTGTGCGGCGGCGGGGACGCAGGGCCGCTGCTGCTGGGAATGTCAACAGAACCGCTTGCAGGGGATCCCAGGAGAGCAGCACCTGGACGCGTTCCGGGGTCCCGCCACTGCGGTGGGGAAGGAGGAGGCGCCGGCTCCGCCTGCCCGGGGTGAGCGCGGGGCTCCCGAGCCGAGGCTAGAAGGGGAGCCCCCTGCACGCGCGCCAGAGGCCGCAGAGCCTGCCTCGGAGCCGGCGGAACCGGTACTGAAAGCCGGGCGGGAGCCTGCTGAGCCGGCGCCCGACCCTGCAGCTGCCTTCTCACCTCCTACTACCGTCGAGGCTGCGGACAGCGCGTCTTCTCCACCGGCTCCTCCTTCTCGGCTTTCTCCTCCGGAAGAGCAGTGGGAGCCATGGGCCCTGAGCGCCCTGCTCTCTTCCACTCTTCGAGAGCAGCAGCAGCGGCGCACTCTAGAGTGGGTGGCCAGACACCCCCAGGTGCCCGAGGCTCGGGACCAGGGTCCCACGCGGGCCTGGTCCATACTGCCAGACAATTTCCTCCAGCTGCCGCTGTCGGGAGCCTCTACTGCCTCTCACTCTCTCTTTCCAGTTGTACCCGAAGTGTCCTCAGAATCCGGCCCCCGCGACCCTCCCATGTCAGTCTTTCGCAGCATCCGCTGTCAGTTATCTCTACAGGATCTGGACGACTTTGTGGACCAGGAGAGCCACGACAGTGAGGAGAGCAGTAGCGGGCCCAAAGAGTCCCCTGGGGGCTCTGAAGATGGCCTGCAGGTGGCCCAGAGCTCCCCACTTCGGGAAAGACTCGGGAATCCCGCGGAAGACATTTTTGCATCTCCCAAGGAGGGCAGTCCGGGCAGGAGCCCCCAGAGCCGCAGGAGCAGAGGGAGTGACCACAACGCTCAGCAAGTCCCGGAGGAGACCAATGACCTGGCAGGCCACCCCCAGGAACATTTGCCCTGGCCAGCTTCCAAGTTAAGGCGATCCTTCAGGAGAAGGTCTCGGGCAGACAGGGCCAAATTGTCGTCCTCTGATGAGGAGGCGCTTGATGAAGACTTGCTCAAAAGGAGCAGAGGCCCACCTCGCTCCCGAAGAACCTCCAGGGCAGGGGCAATGCCCAGCCCAAGGACGGACGCTGCCTTCCTATCAAAACCTGCAGAAGGGAAGGGTGTTGTTACTGAGCAGGATCGGGCAAGCAACTCTTGGGCTCCCAGTAGGATGGGGCCTGCAGCTTTGGGTGTGCACAGGCCTGAGCACAAGTCGTCCCTGGTGCCCCTAGATGCCAGGGAGCATGAGTGGATTGTGAAGCTTGCCGGTGGCTCCTGGACGTGCGTGCTGACCTTATTCCGGGAGGACCCCCACCTGGCTTTGTACAGAGACTTCTTGACTGGGTACACTGCCTTGCACTGGATGGCCAAGCATGGTGCCTTCAGGGTCCTACAGCAGCTGGTCTCTGGTGCACAGAAGGCAGGAATAACTCTTGATGTCAACGTGAGGTCCAGTTGTGGTTATACCCCACTGCATCTTGCAGCCATTCATGGCCACCAAGGGGTCATCAGAGTGCTAGTGCAAAGGTTGTCTTCACGAGTAAATGTCCGGGACAACAGTGGCAAGAAGCCATGGCAGTATCTGACCAGCAATACCTCTGGGGAAATATGGCAGCTCCTGGGAACTCCTAGGGGCAAGCCCATCTTCCCTGTCCATCCCTTAGTCCGAAGTTCTTCCCCCACCAGGAAATTCAAGAGCCGGGAAGTATCTAGACATGTTACCCGGAAGACTTCTCTGGCTGCATTACTCAAAAGTCAGCACAGCAAATGGAAATCGGCTAACCAGTATGAAAAATTCTGGGAACGAGAAGGGCATAGTGACTAAGGTGGGCCCCTCTCTCCCACCTGCAGGCATCACACCCTCTAGAGCCAGTCAGCAAGAAAAGTCAGAGGGAACGGGGACACTGCTGAGGAGTTGGTAAAGAGAGAGGTCAGGTGAATTTTATAGACCCCAAGGGTCACTCAAGGCTGAAGGTTCAAGTCCTTGTTATGTACATCGAGTGGGAACAGACTCAGAACTGACCCTCTAATGGGTTTTCAGAGGCAATAAATCACAGGGTAGGAGATTTCACATCTATCTCCAGTAGAGCTGCTAGTGGATTTGAAACTTATGGCTTTGGGTTGGCAGAACAACTCCTTACACCTAAGCCACCAGAGAATGAAATCTAAGCAAGTGGTAGAATTAGGTACCCAAAACCCAGGAGGCATTCTTCCTCTTTCCTTGCGGTAAGCTACATTATTTCCCTATGCATCTATCCCAAGCTTTGACTAGGGAGTAAGCAGATATCTTAGCAGAAGAGAGAAATTGAGAAAACTCACCCTAAATCCTCTTTAGCTGGTAGCTCTCTAGCTTCTTCTTAGTCTCTTTTGAAGACTGAGCCTTGGCTAGAAGTAGTAAGCAGCATATTTAAAATCAGATGGCTCTTTTTGACATTTAAAGCAGTGAAATAAAAAAATATCACTGGAGAGTAGGGTTTGAGTAGAAATTCCTCAACCTTGTCTCCAAGTTTTTGGGTATGACTCATGATGATTAAAAGTGTGAAGTGATTAGTGACTTTTAAAAATCTTTTCCAGTGATTGGAGAAGCAAATGATTGATATTTAAAAAACCCCTCCTGTTGAGTTGATTACAATTCATGGCAACCCTCCATCCAGTTTCTGTGGCTGTTAAGTCTTCCTGGGAATAGGCTGCCTCCTCTTTGTCCCTTGAAGAAACAGGTGGATGGATGGATGGATTCAACTGCTGACCTTTCAGTCAGCAACCCAACACATAACACACTATACCACCAGGGCTCATAATTGATGGCTGAGATAGTTTTCTTGTATCAACTCAAAGGTGAACATACCAGACATAAATAAACTCATGGTTCCTATGCATAGTGACAGAAAGCATTTTTAATAGAAAAGCCCCATGTAACAAAAACCCAGGATGATGATTAATTAGTTTTCAATAGGTTTGAATGACCAACCTTCATACTTATAAAAGAGATTGTTTCAGTCTGGGGAAGCAATAAGGATTAAGAGGAGAATGACTCCCCACTAGGAATTTTTCAAGCTGCTACATACCATTTTATTTGCACTAAACTTGTTGCCAATTAAGATTAAATATTAAATTATTAGCCCTGAAGGACTGTGTATATAACAAAATGCTTATGAATGGACCAGTTGATGTGGGTCAGTGAAATGATAGATAGAATGACTATTTTATAAACTACACTAGAATATGTCAGGATTTCAGAATGAAAATTTTAAGAAGGCTGGTAAAATGAAAAACATTACTTTGTGGAAATATTTGCATGTATTTTGGTAATGATGTTGTATTTTGAAAGTACTTTTTTTCTTGTTATGTTTCTCCATTAAAATATCAACAAATCTTTATAATTTATCTTACATATTCTAACTACTGCTACTTTTCTTTCAGAAATTCTTTGTGT